TCAGGCCCACACTGGTCTCTGCTTGGTTTAAAGACACAGCGGGAGGAGCAGAGGTTATGGTGCTGATTTCGTGGAGAGAGGGGTTGCAGCAGAGGTTGGAGGGCAGAGTGCTCTGGAGTTGCTTGTCACTAGTTTTAAGGCGCCCAGCGGATGGCCTGTTTCTCATTTCCTGTAAGATGTGCCGGAGGTGATGCTCTAATTTTCACTCTCTCCCTTCAGTTTTTCCCATTTAGTCTACATCTGTTCATGCTCAGTCTTAGTATTCGGGTTTTGATTTGCGATTTCTTTGCATTCTATACTCTCACTAACAAATAATAAACTTTGTTTTCTTTCTTAGTTGAAGTAACATTGAGTATAATGTAAATACCATGGTGTATGGTATAGTCTTGCATTTTCTTCTGGTAGTACTTTTGTAGACCATTTTTGACCCTGGAGCACAAAAGCAGTTTTAAGTCGCTGGGGTATATTTGTAGCAATAGCCAACAATATATTGTATGGGTCAAAATTATTGATTTTTCTTTTATGCCAAAAATCATTAGGATATTAAGTAAAAATCATGTTCCATGAAGATATTTTGCAAATGTCCTACCGTAAATATATTAAAATTCATTTGGACAACTTTAAAGGTGATTATCTCAATATTTAGATTTTTTTGCACCCTCAGATTCCAGATTTTCAAATAGTTTTGTCTCAGCCAAATATTGTCCTATCCTAACAAACCATACATCAATGGAAAGCTTATTTATTCATCTTTCAGATGATGTATAAATCTCAATTTTGAAAAATTGACACTTAAGACTGGTTTTGTGCTTTAGGGTCACATTTAATGGAAAGTGGAAGTTATTATTTCATTCACATTAAATGATTAAACAAGTCGGTTAATAAACAGGTGGTTTGAGGTGACTCGAGCATGATTCATTTTTACTGCTCAGAATCAAGTGATTCTTGAACACTCAGGACTGATTGAGCTGAAGAGGCTGCCAAAAGCTTGATTGATATCAGGAAGCAGAGCTTGTTCCTGCTCCTCAGCTGTAATCCAGTAACAGAGTGTGATGTTTGCACCATGGCATAGCATTCAATGTGGTAACCTGCAGTTGTAACCCTGTTTGTGTGTGTGTGTGTGTGTGCGTGCGTGCGTGCGTGTGTGTGTGTGTGTGTGTGTGTGTGTGTGCGTGTGTTTTAACTGCTGGATTTACAAAAATAATTTACATTTTAAGAAGTGTTTTCTCAACATTTCAACGTTGCATCAACTACTGATGAACAGATACATTTTTATTTTAATTATCATTCATTCATTGGGTTAGTTAACCAATGTATTTGTCTTTGGAAGACTTTTGTCTTTCAAACACATTAAAATGTCATTATTTCTTATTTCCATGTAAAGCAGGGATTCCCTTTTTTTTGTCTTCATTTTTTTTTATGCCAAACCTCTTTCACCTAATATATTTACTTGAAGTACCCTGAGATTTTAAAGTAATAAATTAATTAATAATTTAATGAACAATTTAGTAATAATAAAGTATCACACTGGTTAATGGTCACATGACATGCAGGTAAACAAATAATTTATATAAAATCATTTATTTTAATTTGACATTTGATTTAATTAATTATTAGATTTCATTAAACTAGCAAACAATTAAACTCACAAACCTAGTAATGCACGTCATGTTGTTAATAACAACAAATGTAATATATGTTCTTTCTCTTTGCATTTTTATATCAATATGGTACAAGATCATCCTTTTTAAATCAATGTGATAAACTATTTACTAGCTCAAAAGTAATCTAAGAGTAATCAAAAGGTAGTCCGTTTATATTAGCTAAAATGTGTAATGTAATGGATTACATTATAACTACTATTTTTGTCATGTAGTTTGGAATCAGTAACAGACTACATTTGTAAGTAATCTACCCAGCTCTGTGCATAGACAGTAACTTAGGGGTGTTTACACGATAATGTTTTCAACTAAAAATGAAAAACTTTTATGCATTTGGCTGCTCTAAACAAGTTTTAAAATGCAAGTTTTTGAAAACAGTGTGAACGTCTCTGTGTGAACTAAAAAACATAGTTCACAAATAAAATATGGACCCTTTTTGGGGTTTCACAACCGCAAAGTTTTAAATATGCATATAAAACTGCAAAGTATTAAATATGGTTAAATATGCAAGGGTGATTAGCTAATTGGCAACTAAACAAGACACAAGTGATGATGATAATTAATAACTATGGAATCAAACAAGTGATTATAGCAAAGGAAACAGGAACACACAAACTATAAGTCCATGAACACGAAACTGGAGCTCAGGCTGAAAGTTATAAAGATAGCGTGAACACCCATTATTATACGGACTAATATAATTTGTGTAGGCTACAGTAAATAAATAAACAATGTTGCAATTATCTTTTACTTCTTTTTTTAATGTCTGTATCCTCTAGTTCATAAAACAGTCTAGTGAAATATGTGTTGAGCTGTGTTTAGTACAAGCCTAAAGGAAGCCTGCTTAGCAGCAATATCTGTAACCTTTATGGCCCATTTGTTTGGTGTTTTAAGCACAACAGTCTTCATGATCATGACTGCAAACACAAAGCATGACAAGACTTTATCAGTGAAGATGAATAGTGAATGATAAGGACCATCGATTACTAAGAGGGATTGTGTCCAAACAACACAGAACTACTGCGGTAAAGTGACAGCAAACCTTAATATCCACCTTCAAGACCTTTAAGATACTCGTACTCAGACTACAGTTACTTTTTTACTTTTTACACAATAGCAATATCTTTTAAAATCTTTTAAAATGTCCTTTCTAAAAGCCTAGCGCTTATATAAACTCAGAAAGTCTTCAGGTTTTGTGGAGATTCACACAGAGGTCAGTCATTAGTCAGGTGCTACACAGCATTTGAGCACTGGATTTACAAAAACCATTTCAACATTGCATCAGCTACTGATGAACACTTTCATTTTTATTTGAATTATCGGTTAATTTACCATGTATTCATTTGGAAAGCATTTGAACACATTAAAATGCACAAATTCACAAATTTTTTGTCATCTGGTCCTCTTTCACCTAACGCATTTTTAGTTGAAGTACCCCTGAGATTTTAAAATAAATATTTTAACAATTTGCATGTTCATTGGATATCTGACGTGGTCACGTGACATGCAGGTAAACAAATAAAATATTTCATTTTTTCACTTAGTGTTTTATTTTGATTCATTTTAAAATTATTTGTTTTAATTTAACATTTTTATGATTTAATTAATTATAAGCTTATCATTCAACTCATAAACCCCCTGCAGTTCTTTCACAAACCCAGATTGGGAGACCTTGATGTATTATAATGGTTAATGCACTTCATGTTGTTGATAACAGCAAACAATATATATTTTCTTACTCTTTGTATTTGTATGTCAATATGGTACAAGATTATCCTATTTAAATCAATGTGATAAACAAGTTTGGTCAAAAGTAATCTAAAAGTAGTCTGATTATCTTACCTAAAATGGATTACATTACTAACTACAATTTTTGTCATGTAATTTGGAATCAGTAACAGACAGAATGTGTATCTACTTGCATTAATGAGAATTCGGGAGAAATAGCACTTAATTGTCCTGAAAATAATGACACAATCTTAATGGTCTTTAAAGGGTTAGTTCACCCAAAAATGAAAATTAGGCTGTGTTTTACTCACCCCCGAGGCATCCTAGGTGTATATGACTTTCTTCTTTCAGACGAATCCAGTCGGCATTAGATTAAATTGTCCTGGCTATTCCAAGCTCTATCATTGTAGTCAGCGGATGTTGCATGCATCAGTCCAAAAGAAGTTAAATAAAAATCACCCATCCATAAAAAAATTTCTCACACGGCTCCGGGGGGTGAACAAAGACCTTCTGTAGCGAATCGATGCGTTTTTGTAAGAAAAATATCCATATTTAAAAGAGCAAAGGAAGCAAAGTTTCCTTCCTTAGTTTCTGAGCGGCGCATGCACAATGCCGACATCCTACGTCATCCGCCCGGAACTGCTTCTGTTTACAACAGTGAGCGCAAGCTACATTAAATTGATTATTACGTTTTGAATATGGATATTTTTCTTACAAAAACGCATCGATTCGCTACAGGAGGCCTTTGTTCACCCCCCGGAGTCGTGTGAGACATTTTTTTTATGGATGGGCACTTTTTATTTAACTTCTTTTGGACTGAAGCACTTCAACACCCGCTGACTGCAATGATAGAGCTTGGAATAGCCAGGACAATTTTTAATATAACTCCGACTGGATTCGTCTGAAAGAAGAAAGTCACGTACACCTAGGATGCCTCGGGGGTGAGTAAAACACAGCATCATTTTCATTTTTGGGTGAACTAACCCTTTAAATAAGGCTTAATTTTGTGTAAGCCAAACATAATTTCATATTGTTTCTATTGATTTTGGCATGAAATGTGGCATTTCTTGACCGATTCGCCCAAATGTCATTTCAGTCTTGCCGGACAGCCGCAGTGCTGAAAAATCAATAGTTTTTCACGTGTTGGTCAGGAGAAAAATGTCTCTCCTCTTTCCTTTAGACATGAGCAGTCAGAACATATGAAAGTGGGACGATGTTTGGTTTGGATGTGAATGCTGCACTCAAAGGCCGCTGCAGTAAAACCCAAGCCAGTCTTGGGAGATGTGAAGTGTAGGAGTATGCATGCGTGTGTGTGTGTGTGTGTGTGTGTCTGTGTGTGTAGAAAGCCAGCACTGGATGCAGAAAGCACACGGTGAAGTGTAGTTCTCCCTGCTGGAGTTCCTCCCCCAGTGTGCTGGTCTGATTTAACCGCACTGATTTGCCCTGCAGCGTAACATTACTCAATAACACTTGGCTTAATTCAGAGAGGCAGAGGTGTGTGTGTGTGGCTTCATCAATAATCACTGCATGTTGAACTTGTTTTTGACCTCTTCTTGAAAGCAGACACGGTTGCTGACCCTCGCTGCTGTTTGTGTGTGTTTGCGTTTGCAGCTCTTGGCGTACGGAGGCTCGCTCTCTTATGACACAGAGAGCAAAGACAACCCCGTTCCCATCATCAGCGCTCCTGATGTCATCGTAGAGGTACGTCTGCACAATCACAAACACGTGCACACTGAGTTTGATAGGATCAAGGCGAACGAATGGTTTCTTTAAACTCTGTGCTGTTGTGATTCATCGTGAAACATGCAGGCGGACTCTCTCAACCTTTAGGCCTTGAAACGAAACTCAATTTTTCTCTCCAACAATTTAATTGAAAACTGTTTTTTGAACTCATCCTACAGCTTTTACTTGACCTCTTCTGAATCTTGGTCCGAATATCTGCCGGTCAGAAGTTCATAAGCAGATTTTTTTGATTTTCTGAATGGTTTTCCTGCAGACAGATTTGGCTGTGAAGAGACCAGTCAGAAAGTGATGCTGTGCCTTGCCAATTTACTCATTAATTTAATTTATTATTTATAGAATTAGAATTAAAACGTATAAAAAGTCATAGTTACAAACAAGCAAGCAAGCAAGCAAACAAACAAACAAACAGATAAATAAATAAATAAGGTCAAATTAAAATTGTGAACATATCTAAGGATTCAATTCAATTCAATTCAATTCAATTCAATTATTTAATATAAAATTAAACTATTTAATATAAAATTAAATTATTATTGAATTCAATTAAATTAAATGTAATTTTCAATTAAATTAATAATTTAATTTAATTTTAAATTAAAATAAAATAAAATAAAATACATTTAATTTAATTTAATTTAATGTAATTTAATTTAATTTAATTTAATTCCTAGATATGTTCACAATTTTAATTTGACTGTATTTATTTATTTATCTGTTTGTTTGTTTGTTTGCTTGCTTGCTTGTTTGTAACCACTATGACTTTTTATACGTTTTAAATCTATCGGAGGTCTATTCCAGTCATGAGTTATTTTAAAGGCAAATGATAACTGACTAAAAGTACTTTTTCTTTTGCTCTTGTGTTCCTTCCTCATATCTGATTTATGCACTCCTTAATATGAAGCAAAATCTGAATCTTAACAACAACAGCAACAATAAATCAGCAAATTTTATCATGTGTTATCAGCTTGAAAAAATAATACATAACTAAAATACCACAATAATGGAAACTAATTAGCTTTTTATCTAATTCATAAGAGCTTGCTTATAAATAGTTTCAACAGTCTCAAGATCAGACTTGCATGTTCGTGTACAAGTAGACATACAATATGTGTATGCGGCAGAATCATAGCTTTCATTAATAACATCACAGCCTCTTAGGTTAAGCTGCTTCTAATTAACCTAAAATTGGCTAAATTAAATGTCATTCTATTAACCACTTTCTTCACCTTAAAAAGAAAACTGAGAATTGGTATTCCTAAATATTGAAATTAATTTCTGTCCTTGGACACGTACTTCTGCTTTAGCGTGAAACTTTACCCTTTCTGTAAAAAAGAAAAAAGCATGCTTACAGTTTTCTTGACATACAGATGCAAACAGGATTTAGTTAGCCATTGTGAGACCTCATCCAAGAATTTACTTATTATAGTGAACATTAATAGGAGACTTTGGGATTGTCCCGAGGGTCATGGTAAACTTTGTGGGACAGAGTTGTAAATTAGGGTTAAACTGCTGATAACCTCAGAAAAGTTCTGCTGTCCTTGTGTTCTTTGGATCATGAATAACTTACTGTATACCTGCAGCTGCTTGGCCACCTAATTGCTGCAATATTTTTAATTAAACTTTTTTTTTGTAAAAAAATAAAAATAAAAAAAATGTAAACAACATTAATAAACTTGTATATGCTGTTTGCCTAAACAGTCAATCATTGTACTGTAACCTTGTGTAGAAATGCCTAAAGGAAAGGGACACACATGTACTAGATGTAATTTCTGCAAAAAACAAACAAAACAAAAATATTAAAATGTAAAGAATTACTGTAATATGTCAACAGCATATCAAATGAATGCATTTTTGTGCAGAATATGTCCTAATATAAAAGAAGGCAGTATTTCATTTGGGCTTCGGATGCTTTGAAACGCAGCACATGAGAGAGTCCGAACCGCAGGGTTTGTACTGTATCTGTGTGTTCTTACACACTAAACGACCTCACCTTTACCCAGAGATCCCTTCACTATCCGCTGTGTGTGCGTCTCAGAGCTCAGCGTGCCATCTGAATCATTCAGATGAATCATAGTGTAGATGTGCAGCTGTTTATGTCTGCGATTGTGTTTGTTTGTGAGTGTGAATGCGTGTGTTTGTGGTGTCGCGCAGCTGTGTTTGTGTTTGCGTGAGCTTTTTCACGAGCTTGCAGGAGCGTTTACGTCTGCATGTGTGTAAAAGCACGCTCCACATACCTCTTTGTGTAATTTGTGTCTACTTAGCTCAGCTGACACATGGTGTATTCTCCTTTATTTAGTCTCAGCGGAAAAGCACTCTCCTAATATTTGGTTTATTCATGTTGGTTTATTCAAGCTTTGGGCAGAATTTTCTTTTTAGACTCAGCCACATCTAAATCAGGATTATTGAGCTCCGGTCCTGCAGAGTACAGCTTCAACCAACCTTTAAACTCCTGACTGAAATGATTATGACAGCATTATTATAGTTCAATCATGACAACTCTCGGAACATTTTAGCATGGTGATGGATATGACAATGTTAATGTATTTGGTCTTGGCGGAATAGATCTGCTACGCATGAGCTGAACTCAAAGATCTAAGACTTTTTCTATGTACACAAAAGGCCTATTTCTCTCAAAAATTGTTCACAAATCTGTCTAAATCTGTGTTAGTGAGCACTTCTCCTTTGCAGAGATAATCCATCCACCTCACAGGTTGTCAGGGTTTGTTTTGGTGTTCATGTCTTTTGCTTTGTATTCATGCTCTTAGTTTAATTTCCTGGTTTGTCATGTGTTCCTTGCCCCACATGTGATCATGTCATTTGCTACCCTTGTGTCTGTGTGTTATGTTCTAATTGTTTCTTTGGTTCATGTGTCATGTTATCATTCGTTGTCTTAGTCATGTGTCCTGTCTCTCATTGGTTGATTCTTGTCATGTGACCCTCATGTTGCCATTAGGTGCGTTCGACTTCATTCAGCGCTGCGCAGACCGATCGGCGGCTGACTTGAAGCAGTGCATGCCGGTTAGACTTTTTTATTTTTTATTTTTATTGCATTGCTAAGAACATACACCATCAATGCCAGGGGTACATACAATTGAGAGTACAAATGCAGGTTACAAAATCAGGAAAATATCGTACAAATGACACAATGAGACAGTTTTAAGGGCTTTGGAGTTGCTGGATGTAAGGAGAGTGTCCAGATAGGATTTAAGTTCCTTATGAAAATCTAGTCAAGTCTGTTCATGTCAAGTCAAGTCTCGGATTATTGTTTGGATCACCTGTAAATAAACTGCACATGGGTTCTTCACTATGCTCACCTTCAGTGGACTGATTCACTACAGAATACTCGACCAGCACTATGAACCCACCAGTTTCACGTCTCCTCTGCCTGCGTCAGGGCGGCCGGGCTATAGAGGAGTATGTGGCCGATTTTTGTGAGGTATGTCACTTTGTGGATTTTAATGACGTGACCCTCAAATACATTTTTCGTTTTGGTGTCGATGAACCGCTTCGTTCAAGTTTGCCAGGGGGAACTATTTGTTGGTCATTGGAAAGATATATTGACTTTGTTCTGTTGTTGGCTGGGTCACCTCTTACTGTGGGAATTGCGGATGAGGAGCCCCGCAACTGTGCTGTACCCTCTGCACCAGAGCCTACTCACTTCCCGACTGTCTTGTCTGGTGTTGTTCACGTCATGCCAGTTACTCCAGAGCCAGCTCACGTCATGCCTGCCAAGCCAAAGCCTGCTAACGTCATGTCTACTACAAGAGATTCTTTACAACATGGCTGCCATTCAAGAGCTTCGTTGCAAGAAGGCCACCACTCAAGAGTCTCTTCGGAAAATGGCCACCATTCTAGAGTCTCGTCACGTCTCAGCTGATCGTCCAGAGTCTCATCACGTCTCAACTGATCGTCCAGAGTCTCGTCACGACATGGCCGCCATTTCAGAGTCTGCTCACGTTAAGCCTGATCCCCCGGCCAAGATGACCGCCATGCCTGATTCCCCGGCCAAGATGGCCGCCACGCCTGAGCCTCATCGCAAGATGGCCGCCATGCCTGAGCCTCATCGCAAGATGGCCGACACGCCTGAGCCTCACCATGTCACGGCTGTCACCAAAGTTTCCCCTAAGGATTTTTTTTGGGGGGCTATAGTACCCAAGCTCCCGCATATGCGTAGCTTGGGCCAAGACTGAAAAGACTGATAGCTAGTGTGATGGACTTACCACTGATGTCGGTGAGAGCTGCAGGCATCCCGGTGACGTCAGCGCTCTCAAGCCCAGCCATCTTAGAGGTCCTTCCACCCTCTGCTGCCCTTCCTGTAATGGCGATCACCATTTTGAGCATGTGGGCTGCACACTGCTCTCCAGAGGCCTCTCCATGAATTTGCTCCTGAAGCCTCTCCTGTCCACGAGTCTGCCCCAGAGGCTTCTCCTGTCCACGAGTCTGCCCCAGAGGCTTCTCCTGTCCACGAGTCTGCCCCCGAG